TGGCTGCACCAGTCTGCATTCCCACCAGCAGTGCACGAGGGTTCCTTTATCTCTTTATCTTTGCTAGCACCTGTCATTTGTTGATTTGTTGATGATTGCCATTCTGACAGGTGTGAGATGGTACTGCATTGTCATTTTGATTTGCATCTCTTGGATGATTAGTGACTTTGAGCATGTTTTCAGATGCTTCTTGGTCTTCCTTTTGTCTTCTTTCGAGAAGTATCTATTTAGGTCCATTGCCCATTTTTTGATTGGGTTGTTTTTCTTCCTTTTGTTAAGTTGTATGAGTTCCCTGTGAATGTTGGCGATTAAGCTCTTATGAGTGATAACATTGGCAAATATGTTCTCCCATGCAGTGGGCTTTCTCATTGTTTTGTTGATGATTTCTTTTGCTGTACAGAAGCTTTTTATTTTGATGTAGTCCCATTTGCTTATTTCTCTCTTTAGCTTCCATTGCCCAAGAAGTAGTATCAGTAAAGAAGTTCTTTCGGCATATGTCTGAGATTTCTCTGCCTGTGGATTCCTCTAGTATTTTTATGGTTTCCCATCTTATATTTAAGTCCTTTATTCATTTTGAGTTTATTTTTGTGTATGGTGTAAGTTGGTGGTCTAGTTTTTTTTTTTTTTTTTTTTTTTTGCATGAATCTGTTCAATTTTCCCAACACAATTTATTGAAGAGACTGTCTCCATTGTATGTTCATGCCTCCTTTGTGAAATATTAATTGGGCATAGTGGCTTGGATTGAATTCTGGGTTCTCTGTTCTATTCCACTGATCTTTATGTCTGTTCTTGTGCCAGTACTAGGCTGTTTTTGAGAACAGTGGCTTTGTAATACAGCTTGATATCTGGTATTGAGATCCCATCTACTTTGTTCTTCTTTCTCAGGATTGCTGCAACTATTTGGGGTCTTTTTTTATTCCAGATGAATTTTTGGAAAGTTCGTTCTAGTTCTGTGAAATATGCCCTTAGTATTTTAATGGGGAATGCATTGAATCTGTAGATTGCTTTGGGTAGTATGGATATTTTAATGGTGTTGATTCCACCAATCCATGAACATGGTATGTTCTTCCATCTGTTTATGTCTTCCTTTATCTCTTTTTTTCAATGTCCTGTAGTTTTTCACAGCTCTTGTGGAGGAGGCTTGGCCTTGATTGTGTCTCGGGCACTGGAAGCTGCAGGTGGTGGTGGTGGTGGTGGTGGTGGTGGGGTGTGTGTCGCTGTGTGAGGGAAAGTTTATAGGTCTTTTACCTGCTTATACACGTTAATCTCTTAGAAGACTTAAATTTTAGGTGTGAAGTTAAGTACTTAGCAATTCTTATATTATTACTACCTTCACTTTTTAAAGGATATATATCAAATAAAATATAAGACATATATAACTAATAGATTCAAATCTATCCTCTAGATTTTTCATACGAGGCAAACTCAGATTGATATTTCAGTATTTTGTCATTTTAAAATACCTAGATATTTAATAATTTTGTATTATTTAATTTAGTAAACTGCAAAGCTTTAAGTTGTCAAAGGATTTGGAAGCAGGCTTGTAGCCATTTGAAATTTTAAACCACCACATTCTTCCTTGGAGATAACATCTAAAGTTGCTGCTGAGGGAAACGTGGCTGGTCCCCCCCTGGGTGACTGGACCCTCACCATCAATATACCTATAATTATTACTGAAAAGCTCTGCTACATCCATCCATCTATGTTTCAACAATTTTGAGATTCTAAAGCCAATTATTATTATCCAAGGCATTTTCTTTGGAAAATTCTGTAACAGAGATAACTTACTTTCAGTAGCTTTAATGTTAACCTTGGAATGCGGTCCATTATTATGTAAGAATGACCCTTTATTATGAAAACACTGCTCTTGTTGCCTAAACCCAACCTGTATATTTCCCTTGTGTCATTTTTGCTATCATTTAAAGAAAAATGGTCTTGGATATATTCTATAGCATCCATAAAGAGATGGAGCTCAAGAGGCCACCCAAAATCAGTGGGGTGCGGCTTCTCTTAAGCTAACCTTTTTCTATTTATGGGTAGAGAAATCCCAGACGTATCCCTTAAATTGTGAGAAATGTCTCATCTATCTAAATTTCAAATGATGGACTGGGAAATAAAAACATGGTGAAAATGAGACTTTTAATAGCACTCTTGAGAGTGGGCGTCCATTTTACAGGATCAGTAAAGACTTAGTAATTAATGGGCAGGGGCCTTTTTAGTTATCTCTACCTTCTTTTGTCTCCTAGGACATGTACCATCGGCCACATGTCTCCCTACCCCCACATCCTGTTTGCTCTGGGGAAATTCAGTAAATGGCCTGGCCACCTAGGTATCTTTTCTTATTAAATTAAATTAAAGGCATACTTAATAGACTAACAATAAACAACAAAGACAGATAAAACAACAATCAACAGACAAGCACCCATAACATATAGACAAGACTTAATAAATCAGAGTTCTTTTCATGAATTTTTTTCAGATGTTTTACATTTGCCTGGGACTTATAGCCAGAATGCAGCCTAGATGTTAGTCCATTGTTTACAGGTCTTATTCTATTCTGCTTTTCATTGCATTGACTGGTGTCTAAATATTTTTTGCTAAAATCTGCCTGTCCCAAGGCATCATATGGTAATTTTCAGACAAAGCATTAAGGAGTCCTTTTGTGAGAGGACTGATAGCCCCATTTTTCTTAGCCTTTCCACATTAGAGGTGGAGGATCTGGGGCCTTAGGCATTATAGACTGTGGATCCCCAATATGAATGAGGCCTAATGCAGTTTGAACAAGAGCCAAGAGTACCTCTTGACATTTTAATTTTTTTTTATCCTTAAGCATACAAGCTAACACTTTACAATGATATGTTGCCTTTTACTCAAATTCTTCCCCATTATAGTCTGGCTTGAAATAAAAAGACGTTCCTGACCACTTATGGATCACAACTTCCGAAGCTGGTACAGGCTTTGTGTGCAGTGAATCTCTCCAACTTTCTGGTGATCCCACCTTTCCAGTGAATTTTCTTTTTCCCCCTGCTCCGGCGAATCTTTTTCTTCAGATCCCTGTTTCGAGGTGCCAGATATGAACGCCACATCCATTTGCTGCTAAAGTTCAAGGTCTGGAGAAGGGGATACATTAGACAAGAAATATAAATCTAGAAGGCATGGGGGGAGCCAGGCGGAGGCTTCGCTCTAGTGGAGAAATTCCTTGAATCTCCAGACCCTTCTGTTTTTTATTTACTAGAATACACATTTGCCCTTTGGCAAAGCAAACAGGTTTATCAATGGTAAAGTTTGGCAAACGATAAAAGGATTATTAGGTTAGGGCAGTGGTCGGCAAACAGTGGCTCACAAGCCACATACCCCTTTAGCCCTTTGAGTGTGGTTCGGCTTTAGAACCACTTCTTCAAAATAGACTCGCCCAGGCCGAAAACCGACTTCTGCGCATGGGCCACAAAGTTTCAATTGCACTGTACATGTGCACCCGCACGTGGTATTTTGTGGAAGAGCCACACTCAAGGGACCAAAGAGCCGCATGTGGCTCTCGAGACGCGGTTTGCTGACCACTGAGTTAGGGGATTGCCTTCAGTCATTCAGCCAGCAGCAGCGTAATACAATGCTGATTTTTAGCCCTTGCTGAATATCAAAGACTATCAACTTTCTAACGGACTTCTTGCATAATTATGCTAACTACTTATTGGTCTTAGCCTGCAGTATCTTTGGACTTCAAAACAACCATGAGACCTAGGTCAGGTATTATGGTCCCATTTTATCCACGATGAAGCCAAAGTCTGTAAAGAAGTAACTGTAAGAGGTGGAGCTAGGACTTGAGCCCAGGTCTTTTGACTCTTAGCCAAAGCTCTTCACTACATTTTCCTTTGGTACAATAACAACAAAGCAAAACAAACAAAAATCCCCAACCAACCAACCAACCAGTGTGAAAGGTAGAAGCCGATTCTCAGGGAGGTGTATATTCTGGGAGCAGAGGGGTTCTTTCTGGGAAGCAGCTGGGAAGAGGGCTGACTTGAGGGCAAAGTCTTCTGGGGAGTTCCTGTTTCCCAGGAGAGGGAGTTGGTCAGAGCATCCTTGTCCTGTTTTTGTTTGTTTGTTTTTTTCTATTTTGTTGTTTCTTGAGTGTTGCTATCAGAAAGAGGACTCTAGTTCCCCAACTCTGGGGGCTTAGCCCTGTCTAGCTTCCTTCTTTCTGAAATATATGCTCTTTCACTGACATTTCACTGCCTCTGTAATAGCAGGGTGGTGGCCCAGCAAGTGCCAGGGTAGGAGCTGGACTTGGCATTTCCTTTGTGTGGACCTTAGGCCTGACTTGTTCTAGCTGTCCCCAAGTTCCCCTCCATTTTAATGGCCTCCACCGACTGGATTGTTCCCAATGGCAGTGGGACCAGCTGTGTTGCCACCACCCTGGAATGGATTCTTAGTTGGGCCTCCCTGTGAACCAGAGGTTCACTATAATAGACTTGACATTGGACGACAAAGGATGACTTCCTCGGCCAGCCTTTCTAATGTTGACTTTCTACCAGAACCCCGGAGACTTCCAGCCACACAGCAGTTCTGACCCACTTTAGTTTGAATGAGCTGCTGGGGGCACTGTCTGCAACTCTGCCAGCTTGAGCCTTGAGGGGAAATGAGCTCAGTCAAGTAGGCAGGTCCCAGTGAGGCTTTTCTGAAACACCAGGACTAACCTCATGGAGCATAATGGAAAAAATATAGCCTCATATCTCTCTGCCCCATTTTCATCTCTGTCGGTGTTCTGGACAGAGGATCACAGGGGGATGCTCTTGCTGCTGAGTTAAAAGGCTAGTTTCCCTCCAGCCAGGATGTGCTGTCTTTCTCACTGTTTCTCTGTCTCACCCTCTGCTTCCATCCTCCCCTCAGGGCCCCAGGACTCCAATCTAAATCCTAGATCTTGTCATGGAAGGGCAGGAGTGTTTTATAACTTTGTTTTCTGAACTTCTGCTATCCTTCTTTTTCTTTTTCTTTTTTTGGAACAGAGCAGCACTTTCCAGAGGTGATGCTGGGGGAAGAATTTCTTAGCCTAAGTCTGGACCAGGTGTGCAGCTTGATATCCAGTGACAAGCTGACTGTTTCTTCAGAAGAGAAGGTATGGTGTGGCCCCTTGGTGCAATAGGAGTCTCATGTGTGAGGTAGTCATGGGAGGGACTTATGGTTCAGTGAGAGCTTATTTTTGTCACTTTTTTTAAAAAAAGGTCTCCTGATCCTTGACCACTAACATCACTTTCTAGACCCTTTAAAGAAGAGATAGGTGGTGGTGACCAAGCTGCCTTCATTAGCCGAACATTTACAGTTTGCCAAGCACTTTGCTAAGTGCTTTATGTTTTCTTTCCACTCATCCTTCACCACAGCCCTGTGAAGCAGGCATTGCTGATGTCCCCACATTACAGATGAGAAAGAGTGAGACTCTGGAATTAATTAGCTTATCCAAGGTCACTGCAGAGCTAGCATCTACCTGTTACCTGGTCTTAATCACTGTCCCACATGGCCTCTTGTGAATATCATTGAGTATTCATGCCAGAGCAGACTTTGGGAATATCTAATCCAACAGGGGTTTGGAATTCTCTCTGATGATGAAACTGAAGCCCAGATAGGGGATAGGAATTGCTGATGGCCACACAGTTAGTCAGTGGCCATGCAAGGATTAGAACCCACGGCTCTTGACACCCTGTCCCCTAACTCATTGACCACACACATCCTTTGTGTTGGAAGCTTGACTTCTGCCCAGTGCTCTAGCTCACCTGTGACTGATCATTATTCCTACTTCAAGGCCTTGCCCATTACTGACCCTCTGATTGGAATATTCTCCCCATCCATCTTCACCTGGTTAAATTCCAAGCCAGTTCAGATTCTGCTATTACCAGGAAGAATTTCTTTATTCCAGGAGATGTAGTCTTTTGCACTGAAAGGAACATAAGCTTTGATGTTGGCCACCTGGGTTCAAATCTCATCTCTGATATTTACAAATTACTTGTGTTACCTTGGATAAGATATGTTGTTTCTATATATGTTTCCTCATTTATAAAGTAAAGATACTAATAGAATGTATTCCACAGGGTGGTTGTGGAAATGGTATAAGGTTTGTAAAATGTCAGGTATCATATCTGGTACCTAGTAGGTGTTCCATCAGTGTTAGCTGAGTTTATTATTGATCTTGCTTCTGGAATTAAGTCCTTTCTATTCTATGTTCCAAGATAGCACTCACCTTGTTCTGCTTTTTATTGTACTTAGTTCTGACCTGGTCTTTCCTCCTTTCCTCAACTGAGTTTTCTGATGATAGGGGCCACATTTTATTTATCTCTATATCCTCAGAGATGTGCAATACATGTCTCTCGAATTGTCTTAGTCCCACTCTTAGTGTCTAAACTTGAGGTCCTTTCCGAGGCAATATTTAAGGAAAAGCCCCCGAAAAGGATTTTACATTGGAGATAAGACTTAGTCCAAAAGCTTATGTCCAGAGAATGGGGTGAAATTCACAAGCCCCTGCCTGCCATCTTGCAGAAGTTTGATCAAGGAGAAAAGGAGTTCAGGACTTCAGAGAAGGTGGCTGGCACAGTAATCTAGATGCTTCCTTAGGTTCAAAGAGCCCTCTGCTTCCATTAACTGGTGTGAAATAGCACCTTTGGGGGAAAAGAATGCCTCCTACCAGGCCAAAGACTCCTTCTTGCCCCAGCCTAAGCTACAGAGTTGACTCCCTCTCTTCTTGCTGTTTAATGTCTTCTCTGGATTGTGCTACCAATTTGTCATAGTTGAAGGAGGGAACTACTTAATCAGTTGGCTGTGTGAAAGTTGGGGCAGTTGGTCAATTTGTGGCCTGCTTGAGCATGTTCTCAAGCGTAGTTTGAAAAAAAATGGAAGCAGTCATAAAACAGCAGGATTTAAATAAACAGGGTTATTTGGTCTGAGAGGGGGGACGCTGCTACTTTGAATTCATACTGGCTCCTCCTGCCCTGGGTCCTGGGATCATAGTAAGTTTTTTTCAGGTGAGGATTTATCTGTTTGCTGTACTAGGGCAGGGGTGGAGCAGGGTTGCTAGTAGGGAAAGACAACTGGTTCCATGCTTGGCTTGATGCTCACTGGTTTTGACCTTGAGAAGTCACTGGGCTCTTTGAACCTTAGATTCCTTACGTGTAAAATGGAAATATAAAATTGTCATGAGGATTAGACATAATGGGTATAAAATAGCAAATAGCAAATACAGTGTTTGGCAGGTGCTCAATAAGTGGCATTTGTCATTGTGATTACCATAATTTTGAGGCACCATTCAGAATGGTAAAATAAGCCACGAAGTTAATTGCATATTTCCAGAAACAAAGAAGCATGACATTCAGTCTGACACATTAAAGTTTGTCAGCAGCTCTTCTTGATTCAGATGCTTACATATGAGTTTCTCATTCTGTATAACCTGAGTTTGGAGTGTAGGAATGGTTCACATTAATGAAGTTGTGTGTCATTACTGGGTTCTCTGAAGCTTTGTGTAACTCCAGAGTTATGTGCTGCTTTTCAGAAAGTAGGTTACTCTGATCTTTATTCCTTAGATACCTGTAAGGCTGGCAGTATAATTTTGAGGCGTATCAAAGTATAGAGGGATTTGGCTTGCATTTTCTCTTTGGCAAAACCTATAGTTTTATTTTTCCTGAATTGAGCACATGTTGCTGGAAGTTAAATGACTGGAAGCCTTTGATAATTAGATGTTCATCATTTGATTAGGTTCTGAAAATTCTGTCATCTTTTCTAGGAGGTTTGCTAATTTCTACTCCCTTTCATTATATTGCATACAATAGACAATCTGTGGCACGCACAGTAGCTTTTTCTTTCAATATTGCATTATAGGGAACCTATTGGAGTGCATTTGAAGTAATATCAAGGATCTTAATTTAAGCTAAAATTCAATTGCATTTAATGTTAACATTTGTGCAAAACCCAGCTGAGTCCGTAATCAAATAACCTGTGTTCAGCGAAATCCACACTTGAACAGCAATATTAGCTGTACCATGACTTTCCTCTTTGTCTACAGCATACAGGTTTCTTTCAATGTTTATTATAAAATACAGCCACATTTCAGACATTAAAATGTGAAGAAACTGTGTGTCTTAAAATAGAGGAAATGTGGTATTTTAGTTTTGATGGTTAGAAATGATAATCCCTGGGCCCAGGCGGTTTGGGATTTTGGAAGTGTAGGTTCTCAGTCAGAGTGGCTGAGTTGGAGTCCCAGCTTTTTATCTCCCACCAGAATATATGCACCAAATGGAGCCTCGTCATGGATTTTGTCTGTCTTAAGGTCGCTGCTGGAGTGGTATTGGGTCCATAGTATATACATACAAAAATATTTGTTTGCTTTCACTGGGAATTGAACAGTGGCCTCCTGGTTCATGGGTTAATGCTCAACCACTGAGTGACACTGGCCTGGCTTAGCAATACTGTTTCCTTTTCTCTTTTCGGGAGAGAAATTCAATAAGCACTGAGGAGTAGAATGCCACAACATTATGATCCAAAAGCTACCTTGAATGCTCGCTGTTCTCCGGGTACATTTCACACATCATTAAAAAAAAAAAAATGTGGCGTTTGTATTGAAGTAAGTACATATACATGAACAAATAAAAAGTGCACAGCTCACCTTTTTACAAAACTACATAACTAGCACCCAGATCAAGAAACAGAACCTTAGAACTCCCAGTCACTACCCACCCCAAGAAGCATAACCACTATTTTGGCTTCTCATAGATTAGTTTTGCAATTTTTAACTTTATACAAATGGAACCCTGGTGTATACTAGTATATGTGTTTGTGCTGACTTCTTCTGCCCAGCATACTGTTTCACATGTCATTTCTAATTCTCACAAGAACTCACAAGGCAGAGGAGAAACTAAGGCATGTTAATAATAGATAACTTCATGGATTGAAGCTGATTGTGTCTGCTTCCCAGGTCCCAGCTCTTTATTAATGCACACCCACCCTGATGGGGAGAGGCAGAGGTGAGTGACACTTAGTCATTACTATTTAAGAGTCTGGTGGTCAGACAGACCCAAGACATATATCCCTAATGGCTAAGAGAAGTGGCTAAGAGAAGTAGTTGCCTATAATCAGAGTTCTAGGAAAGCAGCTGGAGTATGTTATTCCAGATGATTGTGTGGGGAAGAACTTATAAAAGAGAGAATATTTGAGTTAAACCTTGGGGAGTGAAAGTAGGATTTTTGGAAAGCTATTCAGGTTGAAGGATTGAAGGAAGTTTGGAAGAACATTGTACTTTGGGGGAAAGTAACCTGTGTGATGAGAATCAAGGGTCTTTGAGGGAGGCTGTTGGAAGATGAGGCTGAGAATGAAGGAGGGGTCTGTGGAGAGGGTTAGGAGTGAGGACTTTATTCTCTAGGTCAGTGTTTACTGAACTGTGTGCTGCCAAACTGCATTGCTGTGAGATATTTATTGTGTTGCGGTTAAAAAAAGTTTTCAGGTTAGACACGACAGAGTGGCTAAACAGAGGAACCAGGTTAAGAAACTGCAGGACTTGTCAGAACTTTTGTATGGTAAGGAACTTTGTAATCTCTAAAGAGGATTTGGGGACATGTATGTATGTATATGCATGAAGTGTTCCCCCGGCTCATTTGGTCCAGGGACCCCTTTACTGCAGAATGCCTCCTGTCCCTAGTAGTCTCAGGAACACGTTAAGAAGACAAGTCTTGAGGTCGCCTTTCTTTGGTTGTCCAAATATTCTACAATTTACCGCACCTGTTGGTTTTCCTTTGACAGTTTGTTTCGTTACTGATCCATAATTTTTTACTGCGATGCCATCTTCAGAGGGTGTTATAATCATGGGAGTCTGGGTTGCTCTGGGCTGTGGAAGTGCCCCTATAGCACAGGTTTACTGGTTTAGAAATAAGTGTTGTTGGGATTTTTTGTATTATTATTATTTTTTTGTCTTGAGTATCCCCTTTTCCACCGAATAATGTCAGTTCAAATCCCACACCTGTATGTGGCTTGAGCCTGGGATTCTGATTTCTTGAAGATGAAATTTCTTACCCCCAAGGCCACAGGAGATGGCAAGCTTCCTTCCCCCTTCCCATAGCAGATGGATGGACATCCAGTTCCAGT